ATAGGTTCATTCATGATTGTTAGACAACTAAATTAGAAAAGAATTACCATTTTCCTTGACATTTTACTTCTGCCAATGTAGGAAATACCAAAGTTGAGGAAAATGGTTTATTTACAAACAAACAACACAAAACACATTTTGATGATGATTAGATACTTGTAGATTTAAATTGAGTTACATCTTAAACAAAGTGATGAAGAGTATGCTGCTAAATAAAGTATTGATTTTAGTTTTGTCTCTTCTCTTCTTGTCTTATCGGTTGGTGCCTGTCAGAAGGGTTTCAAATCAGTGTACTGGTAAATGTTTGTACAAGGGAAAGCGATCCACTGAGGAGGTTTACAAATCCTATACCAGTACTATTTCATTGCATTTGTTGTATTATGACCAATTTTTATTACTTTTTGTGTTTGTTTGTCAAAAAGTTGTGCCTGAGGAAAAGATTATGAGATCTTTCAGGCTACAAAAAAAAAAATAAGCTTCTGAATTAAGTGAACAAATTTAAACGCTATGGTCATTTATGCTATATCTAGATGGAAAGCATGCAGTGCGTATATGGCACTTCTGATTGATCTAGAATCATCTTGCAAGTAATATGAAAATGATTTTTATGGTTGCAAAAAGCGCTTTGTAAGAATAGGTATTTTTAGTATTACCATCTAAATCTAAATTAAATTAAAAAAAACTTGTTAAATGCAAAAAATCTTTCTACAACATTTTTCTGTCTAATTTTAATCTAATATTTTATCATAATATTTTTATGTTACAAAAATTGACTTATACCACTTTTATTACCTTGTCTAGTAGCAATATAATTTTTTTAATATTTATTTTTAAAAACATATTTGTTACATTAGTTAGGACATATTAGTCTGCTGACTTAAAACCTTTTTTTTTAAAAGGTCTCCTAGCAACCTAAATACTAGTATTCCCGTTAACCCCTCCCGCTAGGGTAAATTGCTTAAGCTTACTGGTCAGGATTTGAACCCACGACCTCTTGATCGCAAGTCCAACGTCTGAACCACTAGGCTACCGCCGCTTTTAGCAGAGATATTTAAACAAAGTGTAAGACTTGAACCAAAACTAAAAACCCAAGGAGTGTGTTTTCTGTACTCGCCTGATGGAAAATTTTATCATTAATAGTGTATAATTAAATAAGGTATTAATTCTTAAATTGTATTTTTTAATATTAGTGGTGAATTGAACCCTGACCTGCTTAAATTTTGCAATATACTGTTCTAACAATTCCCTCCTCCCAATTTTACCCTCTAATTCCTAAAAGCGATATATAACTGTTAATGCCCAGTTGATAGTGCAATAGACTTGGCTACATTACTTAACACATGTCATAACGTGTATAATAATAATATTTTTGCTCATCTAACACACAAAGCCATATAGTTTCAAATTAAGCAGGGCTTTTACTATTCTAGATATACTGATAGAATACTTATATACTTTTTTTGTAAATATATACACATTTAACATAGGTAATGACAGGCTTGTTGGTCTAGTGGTTAGTGACCCTGACTGCTAAGCCGAAGGTTATGGGTTCGATTCCCCAGGATAAATAATTGCGTGATGAGTATGATAATTTCTTGTGTCTGGGTGTAATTTATCTATAATATGTATGTATTTAAAAATAAATAAGTATGTTTTGTTGTAAAGACAACTAGTTTATCAGCAGTCTCATTACCATAGCACAAGCTCAGCCTAGTTTGGAATCAGACGACCACATGTGTGAAGTTTTAAATATAACATTATATATATTTAACACTCAAACGTACATATTATGTTTACATATATGTACATATTATGTAGGCCTAAAATTATGGTTGGCAAAAATTTGACATTTACTATGCCTCTGCCCACCCCTTGGGAATATAAGCTCAAGTGTCTGTATGCATGTACCAAAAATAAAAACATGTGAGTCATATAAATACATTAGAATATGGCAAGTCTTTGTTTTGGTGTGAAGTTTAAAAATGTGAAGCAGCCCATTTGAAAACTAACATTAAGAGGTTAATGAACTTGTTAATTAGACAACATCTTATTAAAACAAAAGACTGTTGATTGCCATGAAGTTGCCGTTGAATTATTCACTCTTCACATTTTTTTTAACTTATAGAATAAAAACTAGGAAGTATTCAAATTGTAATATGTAAATACCTATTTTAAATATTATTTCTTTTGACACAGAGCTTCTGGAAAATATTTTATGTCACGAATTTTTAAATTAAGCTTTTAATAAGAAAAACAAAAAAAAAATAAGTTTTACGGATTAAGTATTTTTTTTTATATGACTGTATACTAAGTGTACATTATATTGATAAACTAAGTTTTAGTATAATAGTCAAAAGTTTTTCAACTACAATTGGCAGCATTGGTCTTAACTCACCTTTGCAAAAATTATGTATGATATTCTTAATAACAATTTATAAAGAATGTCATTACTAGTTCAAATAATGAATTACAGTTGTATCAATATCTGATCTGTGTAAATATAAATTAATAGATGATTAAAAATATAAAATAATAATATCAATGTAAGTATGTCTAAGTGTAAATGATGTGTACTGAAGTACAACTTGAAATCCTCCGAGTGCCTGTTTTGCAACATTTTTAAATGTTATCAAATTCAATCAACATCACAAATATACAAAAACACAAAAAATCTCAACACATACACCTCCTATCGGACCAGATTGATTCACCCCTCTGAACTCATAACACAGGTATTAACTTGATTTCAGAACAGAGGCAACAACGATAAGAGTTTCTTTATTATGACTGGCCTGTTGGTCTAGTGGTTGGTGACCCTGAATGCTACACCAGAGGTTGTGGGTTCGATTCCCACCCAGGACAAATAATTGTGTGATGAATATGGTCATTTGTTCTATGTCTGGGTGTACTTTATCTATAACATGTATGTATTTAGAAATATATTTGTATGTTTATAAGCAGTCAGGTTGCTTTGGTAAGGGCTCCGCCTAGCTTGGGATCGGATGGCCATGTGTGAGATATGTGAAAATATTATTATAATACAATCCAAATCTATACTTTATTTATAAAAATTCTTCCGTATCATCACCTGATGATTACATATCCATATACAATACCTTACACACATTATGTATGTCAATTATAAGTAAATAGCCAATGTAAATGTTTCATTTTAGTTAAATAAATTTTATTATTATTACAAAAAGCTTTGAAACATTTATGTGTGACAACCTTAGTAAAATGAAAAATTCACAGTAGATTTGAGACTGTATAATAGTGAAATTAAACTATATAAAGTTAAAAATACATACAGTGTCATGTCTACTATTAGATACTAGCTTTATTCTATGGTTTTGCTCATGTGAAGGTTCTTTCCTATTTATTTTTCATTGTACACGCTGAACACATACATATATATAAGTAACAAGGAAATGTCATGTACAAAGGCGAGCTTAATGTTGAGATGGTCATTCAATTTTCCCAGGATAAAAATACTTTTGTGTTGTTCCAGGCTATAATAGAGAGATAGATTTGTGTGTAAATTACATCCAGAACGTCGATGGTGTGAAACAAACTCCCATCCAAAATTAAGCACTAAGATCTATTTAGTAATTAATTAATTAACTACTAAGATCTGTTTAAGAAAAGGAGAAAAAACCTTAAATGAATACTTAAAAGACACATTTCTAAACACAAAGGCTTATTTTTTCTTTTAAAAAAATGTGCTTGAGTGAAATTTTTACCTTGATTTTAAGAAAGAATTGACTTATTTATTATTTCGCAAGTATATTTAATATTAATTTCATATAAAACTCGAATTTGAAAGCTAAGACTTAAGACTTATGTTAAGTCTTAAGTCGAGCTCCAAATTTCAAATGTCATTTTAATTATAATTATGTTATTTTAAGCTCAAAGTAATTAAATTAAGATACTGAGAATAGATAGTGATTCCGTAACTTTATTTTGGACCTACCCTGAACAATACAGTGTAAATGTGCTAATGTTTACATTCCTAGACTATGTACACAATGTCAGTCCACTATATGTTAGTCAAAGATAACGTATCTACAAAACTGTAGGCCTCGAAAACTCTCGCCCTAGCCGGTGAGAGACTAAAATTTATATTTTTAAATTAAAACCACTAATGCAAAGGCAACAATTTTCACGTGACTCAAACACGGCGCGGTCTACACAACCAACAGCTTGAATCGACTGCCACTCGCCACAATAACAAGCGCGCACGATAGAGATAACGGTTAATACTTCGTATTGCTGTACTTGCAAAAAAAAAACTGCACCAAATACAACGACTTTTTAGGTTAACTTTACGAAACCAGATTTTACCATCTGTAAATGTTTTTAGATATGTTACATACATAAATGATACCTTTTTAATACGTCTTTGATGAATTTACTTAAGTCAACGTGTAATCATTGTGAAATAAACAAGGATTAACGTGAGATGAATCGCCCGCGCGAACCTAACCTTGATTACGGCAGTTTGATAGATTTCTAGTTCAAGGTCCTAAGAAAAAACTGAAAAGTCACATGAAGGCGTTACACAAACAAAACTGAAATATCATTGCGACCCGCACAGAAATCTATTTTAAGACAAACAACAGATGAAAAAGCGCTAACCTTTACAACCTCAGGTGACGGCTTTATCCATGTAATTGTTGTTGCGGCGTTTGAACACGTTTTACACAAATAACATTGCATCAAACACTGTAGCAATTATTTTTACACTTTTAAGATACACCACTGAATTTTATAAAAGGTTTTTCGTAAAAAATTAACACTTCACGAAACATCACATGTTACGAACTTCACGACAGCAGAACTTAGGGTTGCCGTCATTAATCTCACAGTTGTCAAACGCTGTCAAGGCACTAGGCAGTCAGTACTGGAATGTTAAATCCGATGTTTACAGATATCGAGAATTTTTGCTTAAACTCTTTGTAGGTATCGAATAAAGTTAATAGTTTTTAATTTTTAATCAGATGCCGACCTCTCCGTCTCACACCGGTGATGTTAGTGCGGGAATCACCGAAAATGCTGAAGGGCTGGCAATTATTAAGGAGGAACAAACTTCACCGCCTGTTTCTATGAAGTTTATTGCAAGCAAACCAAAGATTGGTGCTCCTTCTCAAGAGAGACTTTGTAAATGTGCATCGCGTAAGGTAAGAGTAACCTGTGAGAAATAATTATCTGCTTTTATATATTATATTTATAGCTTATTACTATACCTGCTTATAAAGATGCGGTTAAGGCTTTAAATAGGAACCTAACTTCTTTTTCAATGTTAAATACTTAACTAATCCAAATAAACTGGTACTTAAATTCCAGAACACTTTTTAAGAAATTACTGTGACTACAAAATTGAATCAACAAGTTAGTTAAAATCTCTTGAACTTTTAAATTTGCCCTTGCTCATTTTTAGACAAAGTGTGCTTCTCCGCAAACTGATGAAACTGCCAATGTGGAAACTTTGGTGAAAGAAAAAGAAAATTCACTCCGAACCGAATATGACAAACTTTTAGAAAAAAAAATTACTTTGGCAAGAGAAAGATTTAATTTTATACTACAGTAAGTTTATTATTATTAATAACTCGCTTACAACAATAGCATTTGGAACACCTGCATAACCTGATATTTGATTACAACTCAGGAGCGAACAAGTGCGAGCATGTTATATGCTAAGGGAAGCACACCGGGAGAGACAGGAAAAAATAAAAGCATTAGAAAGTCAATTAGAATGCAAAAACTTAGCAGCTTTGATGTTTGTTATGTGTACGGAAAGAACAAGAAGTAAATTAGAAAAATTAAGACTCATTGAAGGTAATCATCAATTTATACTTCTTTATTTTATTGGGTTTATAGAGATTTATTCAATATCATTTTACCCAATGCTCTCAGTAATTATATACCGTAAAACTTGAAATTTTTTAGACGAGTTAAAGAAAAAACTTCGTGTTGTAAGTACTTAAGTTACAAATAAAATTTTAAATAAATCCGTCATCGTTTAATGGTACAGCTCAAGCTAATAAGAAGGGAAGGAGAGAGGAATTTTATTATAGAAAAAAAAATCGATTCTTAAGCATCTTTATCCTACTGGCAATCTTATCTTAAAATTACTACGCATATTTTGCGTGGAATGAAACAAAATTCTCGCGCATTATTTTCTCTTATCCATAAGACTCGTTACGACTTTCCACTGCATTTACTTACCCAGTAGGCGTTAGTATTTATATATACATATTAAAATTTACTTACAATAGGTATAATTGGGCTTATATATAAATTGCTACCAGATATAGTAAAATATCATGTCAAAAAAACACTTTATGCTGCCATTTTTGATCATGAAAATTAAAACCTCATTTTAATGTAAAATTTAAACTATTTTTTTTACAGTTTGTTATCCTTCTAAAGTAAATGAGTTGCAAACTAATCAGTTAACTCCAAAAATAGTTAATCAACAAATTTTTAACCACACTAATTTAAATGTCCTGTTATTTTATGATTTAGAATAGAGTTTTTAGAGTGCTACTTTATTCCAGTTAGACCTTTGCTAAACTTTTCTTAATAAAATAAACTCCGTACAAAAAAACATTACAGTTTTTGAGGTTATATATCGCACTGGAACAAAGGTGCCGGTGCCCCGCTTCGCGGGGCTCCTACCGGCTCGTACTTAATTGCGAGTTCTTTAACAAATTAATTGTCGTGAAATTTCGTGAACGTATGAATTAGTCATTCACAGAGCGCGTGCTTTCTCATTCGCACTAGACATGGAAACTATTGCTACTTTTAAATCATATTCATTTGATGAAATGATTAGATTAGGTTACAGCTCTTTCACATGTGATTGTGATTTCGTCATAGACAAAGGTAAATGGCATTAAAATCAATCAAAATTCTTTTTATCATAGATTATTATATTTATTTTAGCCCTTTCGCAAGTTTAGCGCTAGCGTAATAATAATAATTAAGTAGCAGTGGTTATGTAAATCAGTCACAGGTGTGATGCCATGATTTACAAGTCATATGACTTATCGTATGTGATTGTGATTTTATGCCATTCCTAATTTGCACCAACGACTCACTTCGCACAGACTACATTTAATTTAACATATCGTTCTAAAAAAATTAATACAACTGCTAATGTTAAATTGCTAACTTGCTAAGTACCTATTTCGATCGGAACAGTGACCGAGCGCTGCGCGATTGACGCTATTTCTGCGAGTGCACAGGATTTTATTGACTATTTTAAAAGGATTGTTTATTGCATAAATATATTTTTAATATCATTCATTGAATTTTTCATTGCCGAATTTTTTATTTTGTTTAGTACGAATCAGCATTAGCAAGCGGCATTTTGAATGAATTTAAGACGAAATTTAAAACATTATTAGCTGAAAATTGTTATTATAGACTAGAGGATTTCTTGAATGACAACACTTTATAACCATAATGATATAATGTATCATTGATGATTTTTTGTATGATTGATGGATTTTTGATTGCAGTAAATATATTTATGTTGAATATTGAATGTTTTAGATTAAATAAATTAATGTAGACGGTTAATAGTTGATAATGTATACCTATAACCATGATATTCGAGTCCTTTCGTTGTATTGTTTTTTCTTCTTTTTTTGATTTTTTAAAATGTTTTTAAACGATTTTATGTTACATGTAGAAAAATGCTATTGTTAAATTAATTTTATATTTGTACACCGGTAACGGTCAAACATGTCGATCAGGCAATATTACTTAACATCTTTAATGTACACATGTTTATGCAAATAAAATATCTTGTATCTTGAAAATGCCTTTGTTTTCTCGGAGCGTGTTGTTAAATTGTTTATATAGGTACCTATATATTCCTACCTATATAGTATTTGTTAATAATAAATTATAGAGTATAGGCATATATATTTAAGTTTTGAATAGTGTGAAGTGGGAGTTGTAATTAGGTATTTTGGTAGATTGTAGGTATTTTGTGAATAGATAGGGATATTTTTTGTAAATAGATACCTAGTGTTAAGTGACGAATTGACGAAGGCTAGCATTTCGGAACAAACCCTATATTGCATTATTTCTGTAATAATGTTGGAGAAAATAAAATAGTAGGAAGCCAGTTTTGATCGCGAAAATTGCGGAGAGTAAAATTTTAATAAAAATAAGTTATTAGTGGTAAGTGATATCCTCGCACGAAATTGCAATATTGGCAAAAAAAATTAGCATTAGCGATTAACATGCTAAGACTTAAGTATTTGCAATGAATTAAATTAAATCTAATTAGCATTAATGTCCATTACCACCGGCTTCTACTTACTTACTTTCCGGATGGTTTAAAAAGAAATAACCTTAGATTATTATTAATCGACAATAACCAAAAAACCTAACCTAACCTCCATGTCCATGTCTATGTCGGGGTGGATACATTGCGGAATTAGCCACATTGTGTTATTCAAGCATAATTAGTCATTATAGTTAAAAATAAAACATACCATTTCAATAATCCTGTTTTTAAACTTTATAATAACCTTAAAAAGTCAAGTAACAGTATGTTCCTACTATTACTTGATTTTTTAAGTTTGTATGTTAGTTTGCTTACCGACATTTGGTGACCATTAACTACATTTGGTGTTTAGATACAATTTTTAGTGCAGTTAAGACTAGCTGCAAATTATTTTTGGTGGTTAATCAATTTTTATGACTTTAAATAAACAGAAAATACACATTTCTACTACTTTATCGGGGATAGTAGTAGTACAGCTTTGTTTTTTAAAAAGATTTAATTGAAACTTTCTCTTTTGACAGAATACACTACGTATATCAATAGGCTCCAAGATTTATTAACAGAAGGACAGGGCCTGATACTTAACCTATCTAGAGGTTACAAAACAGCGGCTAGGGTAGATTATGAATGGAGAGAGAAAATGAAAAAGGTTGTCGGACAGGTTAGTTTTTTTTGACAATTTTTTTGTTTGTCATTTTCCATCAATTGTCATTGATGAGAAATTAGGAACAAAATTGACAAAACTTAGCAACCACAATATGCCACAGCGAGGCCTGGCAGAATATTGCTAGTGAACTTAATTTATACTAAATCAGATGAGCTTAATTCAAACTAAGTACTATCAACAACGTCATGTTTTGCGCCATCTAACGTAAATGATTTGAACTAGTTGGTATTTCGATATTAAAATGCTGCATCGTGTAATTTGTTTTAATTTTTATACCATAATCTATACAACTAATTAACATTAATTGTCGACAACCAATGACGGACTGCCCTGCCGGTCTAGTTGTTCTGAATGTCGTGGGTTCAATTCTCACCCAGGATAAATAATTATTTGATGAGAAAAATCATTGTTCTGTCCTCATCATAATCAACAGTCTTTAACAGTCCACTGCTGGACATAGGCCTCTTCTTAGAATCCTTTCTAAGGAGAGACCTATGTCCAGCAGTGGACATAGGTTTAGGTTTTGGCCCACTATACCACCACAGACGGGTGTGGTATAGGTTACTTTGGCCCAGCTAATTTGCTCCCTTAGTCGACTCTTACGACACCCACACTCCGTATTCTTATTCAGTCACCAAACGGATAAGTTTGTTTGTTTTTCTGTGTCTGTGTCTAAGTGTAATTAATCTATATTATCAATAGTCTGATTAACATAGTTTAGGCTCAGGTATTAAGTTATTTCTAAAAAAAGTGATATCTTTTATGTAATAATATGCCAAACTTTTCTTCATAGTTCATGAAGTTTATCTACCATTTCACGGGTGGTCCTGAAGAGACCAATCAATACTTCATAGACCTACCAAAGCTGTTGAAGACCGAAGCTCCAATAGTCGATGACCCCAATGAGGATCCTTGCGACTCTGAGGAGTTGGAGGAGGAAGAAGAATCTGTTCCGGAAAATGGTACTTTTTACACGCTTTATATTAGCTTCACTTGTATGTTTGTTTGTAACCGACTCCTTTGGGCGTGATTTTGACTGACTTTAAACGGTCAGAATTAGTTCAAACTTTGTAGATATATCGAGGACCGATGACAATACACTAATTTAAAAAATAGTTTAAAAAAACTAAAAAACTCGCAAAAATAGAAAATACATTTTAATAAATTTGAATAAAAGCGTGGGGTGCTTTTTACTATTGTCACCAGCTTGTTTTTTAGATATATTTTTTCAATTATTTAGGTACAGCGTTTGTTACTGGATTAGTGCCGTAACTAGCATTTAATGCGTTCGGTGCAAGCTTCTGTAATTGCGCTCCATAGAAATTACTTTCGGAAATAGTAAGATGTGTTTACATTGCGAAGTTGAGTTATCCTCGTGCCTCAGAGAACACGTTAAGCCGTTGGTCCTGGTTGCCATACAAATGTATTTGGCAATCGTTATGGGTAGTCGGAGCCCTAAAATGTCCGACAACAGTATTTCTTCTACAGAACTTCGATATCGCCTAGTACTTGGGTTGTGGAGGTCTGTGGACAGTCGCTCCTCGTAAGACATCGAAGTTCAGTTGTATCGTGGTAGACTTAATGCCAACCCCAACCTAGATAGACTCCGTAGCGTACTCCTTAATCAAAGGCTGGCAACGCGCTTGTGACTTGAAACAGGATATCTGTTTAGGGTGCCTTTTTTTTTTTCTTTTTCCGTGCGGAAATCCCCTCGGATACCACCTGTCGGTGGCATGTCGGACTCGAACCGACTAAAACCGCACGCCGTCTCGGGTACTAATAGCCAGGGAACCAGGTATACCCTAGAAAGGAAGTCCCTGGTGCCCCGACATACCTCGGGTCATCTACAGACGAGTAGACGACCCCTCCCCGTGTGGGAACCCCATGTTCCTGTGCTCCCTGGAGGCAAGCGCGCTTCGCAGCGCGCTCGCCACCACCCCGGCCTGCTTCTGCTAGGGTGACAGATGGCCTCACCTGTCACCCCCAGGCCTGCGCTTATGGAGGACGGAGGTCGTTCTGCGACCTCCGGCGCCTGAGTCGCCTGCGGTACCTGGCCCGTTCCCGGGCCTGGCGGGCCGGGAGAGTCCTAAACCTCTCCCGGTCCCGCTCCGCCGTCTCCTTCGCGAGCATAACTTGCTCGCAGAAGGAGACGGCAGAGTTCCACGCACTCTCGCTCCGCACGATAGCCGCAATCAGGATATCGAGCGAGAGAACTCCCACTCCGATGGCCGCCACGAGGTCTCGCCTCTGCTCAACCTACGCCGGGCACTCTGCCAGCGTGTGGAGAGCCGTGTCCACGGTCTGGCCATCGCAGTGGTGGCACTCAGGCGTTGACTCCTTGCGGATCAGACACAGGTGATCGCCGAAACATCCTTTCCCAGTGATCACCTGCGTCAGTCGGTATGAGAGGGTCCCGTGACGCCTCTCGAGCCAATCATGGAGGATTGGCTCGAGAGGCGGGTCTTACCGCCGCGATGACGGCGTGCCCGGTATCCTAAAACCCTAACAAAAATACTATAAAGAGTGTTATGAACATATTGGCGATAAGATAATATAACAAAGAACTGTTGCTTAAATGTATAGATATATTTGATAATGACCGTAGTTCTTTGTTCTATCGCTAAATAATATAATACAAGTAATCTTTATGATTTACAAAATTATTTTTTACACTTGTATTTAAAACCACGGCGCTTATCAACATTATCAGTTGAAGCCTTCATCATTGGTAAACAAGTTTTGTTGATTGTTTAGAACTTTTATTAAATACCAGCTGAGACCCGCGGTGTTACCCGCGTTAGTTGTTATAACCGCGGGCAACGCCGCGGGGCGAAACTAGTCTAAAAAAAGTAGCCCAAGTTACTCCTTATGTCATCAGCTATCTGCCAGTAAAAGTCACGTTGAAATCGGTCCAGCCGTTCCAGAGATTACCCGGAACAAACAGACAGACAGACAGACAAAAATTGTAAAAAATGTTATTTTGGCATATGTACCGTGTAAACATACATATGCATTTAGTAAAAAGCGGTTATTTTAATATTACAAACAGACACTCCAATTTTATTTATTTGTATTACTTATTTGACGACTGGATGGCGTAGTGGTTTGTGTAACGGACTGCTATTCCAAAGGTCGCGGGTTCGATTCCCGCTCAAGTCAAACATTTGTGTGCATGAACATTTGATGTTTGATTTGGTCTGGGTGTTTCTATGTATAATATGTATGTATTTACAAAAAAAAAGTAAATATGTATTTATATCAGTTGTCTAGTAGCCATAGTACAAGCTCTGCTTAGTTTGGGACTAGATGGCGTTGTGTGAATGTGGTACAATATTATTATTATTATTATTTATTTGTATAGATTGACAAGGTTGAGAGTAAGCCATACTTTGATGTGGCACATTGTGGGTTGCATTGATGATAAATTATCGACAAATATCTTTATATATCTAATTCTTCTGTGAGTGTGTATGTCACTGAACTTCTCTCAAACGACTGGACCGATTTTGATGAAATTTTTTGTGTGTATTCAAGGGGATCTGGGAATGGTTTAGATTCACAATTTTGAATGGTAAGGGTGACCCATCCCTAATTTTTTTTTTGTTGCAATACAACGTTTGCCGGATCAGCTAGTATTGTGTAAAAATTTGAACTCAGTGGGTGCAGAACTTTTTGTGTTTTGAAGCGTATAATTTTTTTAAGCTAACATTTTTTTTACACGCTTTATATTAGCTTCACTTGTATGTGCTTTTTACTATTGACAACAGGCACCCAACGCTTTTTTTCAAATTTATTTTCTATTTTTTAGTTTGGTTTTCTATAGAAAGCGTGTTTTTTAGTTTTTTAAAACTATAATTTTTTATAAAAACCTGTGTGGAGAGGCCTTTGTCCAGCAGTGGACTAGTAAAGGAGGATGGATGATGGATGTTTGTTATCTAAAATATAAAATTCTCGTGTCACAATGTTCGTTCTCGTACTCCTCCGAAACGGCTTGACCGATTCTCATGAAATTTTGTGTGCACATCGGGTAGGTCTGAGAATCGGCCAACATCTATTTTTCATACCCCTAAATGGTAAGGGTGACCCATCCCTAAATATTTTTTTTAGGCAAAGCAACGTTTGCCGGGTCAACTAGTTTACATATAGATAGCGGACCCGACAGACGTTGTCCTGTATACACGTCTTAAACTGAAAAAAACATTTTGCAGTGGGACTGAATTGTGAATATAAACGATTCTCGTATCCACTTAAACACACACAAAAAAATAATTAAAATCGGTCCAGCCGTTTAGCAGTCTTCTTCTTCAGTCGCATACATACGCACAGCAGAATTATAAAATAAACATGCATTAAAAAAAACAAAAAAAAAACCTGAACATATATTAAAATAGGATTGATTTACACTCTTTACATAAGTATATTATAGTGTTGGAAACGTATGTGTTACGGTTACGATAAGACATATCGATACAAAAGGAGGCGATATTATCGCGCACTGCATCGCTATCAGCATCCTTAATTGATATATATACATATATTACATACAGAATAATAACTTGACACACTATACACAGCTGACTCATCCCAAACTAGGCAGAGCCTGTGCTATGTTAATCAGACTGCTGCTAAACATACTTATATATTTTTAAATGCGTGCTTATTATAGATAAAGTATACCATGACACATATCACACTTTCGATCTGTGTCTGGGTGTAATTTCTCATTTTCATTGTTCACTATCGTTTGTCTTGGGTAGAAATCGAACTCACGACCTCTGATTTAACAGTCAGGGTCACTAACCACTTAACCAACTGACAGTCTAATAAAAAATCGAGTTAATTTATTTGGTACTAGCTGGTACCCGCGACTTTGTTCGCGTGGCTTTTGAAAAGCGCTGCCTTGGGTTTGGTTCCGGACCGGTCAAAATTTTAAGGGTTTTTCTGAGAGGAAAAACAGCCTTAGTTAGTCCTTATGTAGACACGTAGGTACCTGGTAGCAAAATATTATCAAAATCGGTTCTGCCGTTTAGAAGATTACCCGGAACAAACAGACAGACAGACAAATAAATTGTAAACTGGTTCTTAGGCATAGGTATCGAATAAATAACCGTTTGAGCATGAAAAAAACCTATTATTTTGAAATTACAAACAGACACTTCAATTTTATTTATTTGTATAGATTAAAAAAAGAAACAATTCAATTTTCGAGTGAATGACTGATAATTACTGGTTTGTCTGAATTTACATATAAGCATATAGAAGCAGAAATCAACACATATAAGAGACGAATTGCATAAGCTCTTGGTCCAACCCTATCTATAGTCCATCTTATCTAAGAAGTACCGTTTGACGTTTCATACTTTTTAGGTCGAAACAACTTTGTATTGGTGTAACTCACACAATTTCTATAACCTACTCCTTTGATATTTCCTACCTACTACCCAATGATGTTGTGACTGCTACCTCAGTAAATTGATTTAAAAATAGACTTGACCACTGGTTCATCAACAGCCTATAACAGTCTACTGCTGGACATAGGCCTCGCTTTAGAAAGGAGGTTTTGGCCTACTATACCACGCTGCCCAGACGGGTTGATATAGGGTTTGTTTCAAGTTTTCCTTCTCTTTGCAGTGCTTTTGTCCTGCTAATTTGCTCCCTTAGTCGACTCTTAGACCACTTGTTACGGATAAATAAACTGTGTAATTCAAAAACACTCGGAATTTTAGCACTGTGACATAGACACATCAGCTATAAACTGCTCGTCTATAATTAAATAATAATTTCAGAGGACGCAAAACCTTGGTGGAACTCGCTCGAAGACGATTGTAGACCTTTCGTAATGTTCGGAGATATGGCTGATTTCAAGCCTCCGGAAAGGCGAAAAGTACTAAATACTGTAAAAGCCATCAAAGCTGCGAAGAGTGCTCCTCCGATTTGGAAAAAATATGGTAAGTTTTTGACACTTTCGGTGATACTCAGTAGTCTCTTTTTTACATTTGTACACTTTATAATCAACCATTTTCTTTTTATACAAGTATTTAGACTGCACGAATGGTGTAGTGGTTTAAGCGGTCACCTCGCCGCTTCCTAGTGCGTCGAGTTCTGTGTGTTCGATCCCCACATGGAAGAACACATTGTGTGATCCAAAAATTGTTGTTCTGAGTCTGGTTATTCTTTGTGTCCGTTACTGTATGTTTGTAAAGTCCCCCATGACACAGGATATATTCCTAGTGCAGGAGTTGTCTTTTAGAAAAGAATATACTATTTTTAATACACTCTTCTTAGCTTCACTTAAAATTAACTAAGTAATCATAATGATTTATTAATCTCACAAATGGGCCGGCTCGATCGGAGTATTACCACAGCCTCACAGAAAATCGGTGTTAAGTAAAGCAAATTTATTGTTTGAGTGAGGCTACCGGAGTTTTTCTAAATTAATTTATGTGCTATTTAGGAAATCGGTATATCTAGCAAAAAAAATCTTGTCATAACATAATGATTTTTATTACTGGGTAGAAAGCAACAGCTCCTAACTAGAATAAATTTATTCACACCAACGTGATAACTGCGGGACGACGAATGCTACACCGGCTTGGGGTCCAGTCACACCTCATTAATGACATTAAAGACTTTAGAACACGATTTTACACAAACGTATTTTATGTATATAAGTTTCACCTTGCTTGAATCTCTCTAAAGTAGCATACCTATAAACCAACATTAACACCGGTTTTCTGTCAGGCCGGAGTATCTAGGACCTGGCTATCCTACGGCTTCCATCTTCCTTAAATAGTATAAGCAAATATTTATAAAAAAAAAACAACTATCTCTGTTCAGACGAGTGTGGCTTAATAAACAACATTAAAAACATACTACGCTATCTTATTGAATTCTGATTACGGATCAGTCTTCATTAAACTTCTTAATGGTAGTAATTTAATACTGAATCATCTAATTCTAGTGTTCAACGAAATGATGCTAAAGAGGTCCTGCGAAAATGTCGATGATATAAAAGACATGTATCCAAACCTCAAGCGGTTGTCTATGGTTTCACAGCACACACAAGATTCGAATATCGACAAGAATGCAGGAATTTCTAAAATAGTAAGTAAAGGGCAATTTAGTATAGTAGTTTCGGTTTCAATAAACACGTGTTTTTTTATGTATTTCTGGTTTGAAAACCCAAATTTCCCGGAAATAGCCAATTGGAACTTTTTGAAATTTTGTGCGACGCAAACCTACTGAGCCATCCACTATAAGAAGTAACTCCTTCCATTGCCTTCTCTGAACAGAAAAGGTATTTTTTTCTGTTAAATGTACCTACTCCGAATAGTCTCACCTTTAATTTGCAAAGAGCCTTTGTAATACTATCCCTTTAGGAATAAAGGCTCGAGTTAATGTACTCGTATGTATGAATGTAATATATTTTTAGCTCTATTGAAACTTAATACGAAACCAAGATCTGATGATTTACCTTGGAACGCTTTTAAATTAGAATTGAGGCAAATAAGTAAATTCCTGGTGAGATAGGCATCCGCTTATGCTGCAGCGAGTGCAATAGACTAGGGCAGTTCTTATGGGAGCGCAAATATTTTTTTGGCCTAACTTTTTAGTAGAGCAAGTTATGTACCTAACAAGTGTATGAAGTTGGTTAATAGGTGATGTCCACTTTAATGTATTTCTGGATTTTCATTTGTTTGTAAGCATTTTTTAAGCTACCGTACCGATCATCTGATAATCATGAAACTTACGTGTTTGTTAGCCTACGTAGAGAACGTTTTTTTACTAAACCATCTAAATATTTTATGACCCTTTCTTTTCAATAGCAATCCTATATTAAAGATTTTATATTACTAATTAACGTAGGACTGCGTGGGTAGAATAAGAAATTTAAACTAATCAAACATAGCTGAGGAGTTTCTTTTTAAAAATAAATCTAGGGCCAATTCTTGAGGAAGGTTGTAGCCTATTTAACAACCCTTAATTGCAGCTCTAGTTTGTTTTCTCGGCTATCCCATAGTGTGAGGGTGCCAACCCCCTCTAAAACCTAAATTGTAAGTTTGAAAAATCTGAAAATAAATCTGATAGTTACTACCATCAATAACTATTTATAACTTATATCGAAAATGAAGGAAAACTTCTAGGTACTAGGTACTTCTGAAATAATAGAGCTAACTCAACCGTTATTGAGTTAGCTCTATTATTTCAGAAGTACCAAATAGTCGCACAGGATGAAATATGCGTATTTTATTTGCTTGTAAGTGTTTTTAAGGCGTAACTAAATGTCGCTGTTCAGTTTTTTACATCTCGTGAACCCGTTTTAAATCACCATTGGCTGTTTAACCGTGACAGTAAAAAGTCCCCTTTTCAGGCTGCATGTTGTAAATACGGAGCTCTACACTGCATGTGACCCGACACGGATTTGACGGTTTAGATATATGTATATATAAATGTACCTACTTTTATTTTATGATTTGCTACAGTCTGTGGCGAGTCGGCGACAAACTACAGCCAGCTTAGAATGCAGAGGAACTAATCATGCTAACGGTAATGACATGGGATCTTTACTGAAAATTATGTAAGTGTTTTATTAACTTTATTTTTAAATATATTTAAATAGAAACTGTTTTGAGAACTTAAATCTGTTTGTAATACTTCATGGCTACTTCAAGGCTTCATGTGTACGCCTAGATAATCTCCAATTCAACATATACTTACAAAGCAAGCAACGAAATAATAATAATAATTTATTGCATCAAATTCTTTGATAAAATATCTTAAAATCAATCATAAGTGCAATTATTATAAGATAATTAATATGGGGATCCCTGCCTTCTAATTTATCAGGGCTGCTGCCTTTTTACTTTCATTGTATAATACTTATTCTATTTATAATTATATTAAGTGAGTGTGGGCCTTCGTTCGTGTGTGTACGCGTCTGTGCGTGTGAACGTGTAAGCGTGTGTGCGCTTGTGCGTGGGTAAAATAGAAAAAAAAAAATATGTTTTTTTAAATTGATTGGCGACAATGTATGACTTATTAATATTAATAAGTGTTTCCAACTATAGGACGAATATGTGGCTTTCCAATCCGACCTCTTTAAGTAATCCTTGTTTCCCATCAAGGAGTTGTGATATGTATCACCCCAGTTAATTTTCTAAAATTCAATTTTTATTCTTTATGTGTCCAAAACGAGTGTGGGTCAGAATGGCGGGTGTATGGCTGCGGAAATGGAAGGAATGTACCAGCAATGTACTTGAATGTAGCTTTAATAAAATTCAATATACCTCCATGACAAAAATAAAGTGAATCGCAGTCCTGAAAGTCATAATGATGGCTGAATACCGTTAATGAATCTAATATATATGTTATAATTGGATAATATTCATCAGATATATAAAATATCATCATCATTAGCCTATCGAAGTCCACTGCTGGACATAGGCTTATTTTATATATAACATAATATTCATTGCCGCAACCATGCATCCGCCATTCTGAGGGCCTAGTGCAAGTTTATTTAACACCAACTCGCTCTCGACAGCGAGCGCGTTCGGTGTTGCGATTGAATAGATATGAAGTAAATTCGCACTAGGGCCTCTGACCCATACCAGAACGATTACAAGGACTGTTGGGATCAGGCAGGTGGCCCTCTTAATGTAGAAGAAACCATTCAAAATCAAGGTCAAATGGAATAGTTCGTAAAATAAGGATGATCTTCTTTTAATAAGATAATAATTTATTTAATTTACGTGTACTTTTCTTTTAGTACTTCAGCAAGTATGCGACCCAAGAAAACAACTGATAAGTCAGCATTACTTGGCGCCAGAGACTCCATGGAAATCCAATCTTCAACAAAACTGGTAATAAGCCCTCGTCTAAATAATTATCCCACTATCGTGCTAAGCTTTAGTAACGCTCAACTAATGTAACATATTTTGGTGATATCTTTTAAAATATGATTATCGTGGGAGAGCCATACTTCGGCGCAAACACGACCGGGTGTGATACCACAGCCTGATTTGGGGGGAGGAAGGGGCACCCCAAGGCCCACTCTCCACAAATACACTGAAAAATATATGTATATGTGTAAATGTATGAGATAATTCATGTACCGTTACTAAATTTATCAAGACTTGAGACAGTCTTTTGAAAGTTACAAAAAAATATTTCCGTTTTTTCGATTTTATCCGACTTGAAGAGAAGGAGAAGATCCTCAATTAAGTTTTTTTTCGGACATCTGGCACACAACGCCATCTAGTTTCAAAATAAGCAGAGCTTTTACTATGATAGCTAGATGGACAAATAGAATACTTAGATACTTTTTGTTTGTTAATACATACATGTAATGTATAGAAAACACACAAATTCCGAAAAAAATATTTGCAGATCATATAAACATTTGGTCCGACCCGGGAATCGAACCCGAGACCCCTCAGCACAGCGGTCGCATATGATACCACTGCACTGTTGTATGTTTGTTACCCCACAACCCCGACATTTATGGACCGATTTGGACAATCCTTTTTTCATTTCATTGTATTTTAAGTTTGGTCCCATTCATATTAAAAGAAAAAATACCGTCTCCTGCGGGTGGAAAATTAAGGAATGAAGAATACAGTTTACTAAAATTCAGCATGATATAAACGAATTGAAGTCGGTTCTTCTTCAGCATAATGATGACGATAAGCGAATTGAAGTCGGTGCTACTTTTATGCTTTACAGTTAACTATTTCTTTCAGAAGCATTTGAACAACAAATCTGAAATAAAAGGGCAACCTCAAACTAACGTCAAACTTGAGATTGGAAAGAAATGCGTAAGTAAATAGTCGTAGTTAAATAACAAATAATAGCTTTAGATATCTCACACACGGCCGTCTGATCCCAAACTAGGCAGAGCCTGTACCATGACAACCAGACTGCTAATAAACATATTTATTTATTTCTGAATTTATTTTCTATTAGAGGTAAATTTCACCCAAACACAGAACAAGTGATCAGTGCTCATCACACAATTATTTGTCCTGGGTGGGAATTTAACCCACGACCTTTGGTTTAGCAGTCAGGGTCACTAACCACTAGACCAACAGTAAAATATTCTATATTGCGTTTACGATGCTCGTTTAAATATAACTTGAGATAGGTGAAAGTTTATGATTTCCAGCGCTCGGTGACAAATCTGTGCAGCCTCCTCTATAGTTTTAATATACACAGGTATATTAAAAACTATAACGAGCTTATAGAACTAATAATATAATACTCATTTAAAAATCTTTCAGACAGAAACCTGCCTCCAGTCGCTCTGTGTTAATCATTGACCGCCATATTTTGTGATCACTAACATAATTTAGCTTTATTTTTGTACTAAATTTTGCCCAGGTCTTCTTTAAAAAAAATCTCGGGATCAATTTATGCCTATATCCTATTCCAGACTATAATTTTATCTTATTTTCTAGCTTATCCGTGTAGTGTCGGATTAAGAATTACCCGTGTGGTGACGGATTAAGAATACGAACTGTCACCACCCCTATTCATCCCGTGGGTGTCGTAAAACTTGAAACAAACCCTATACCAATCCGCCTGGCCAGCGTGGTATGTAGTAGGCCTAGACCTCCTCTGTAAGGAGAGGCCTATGTCCAGCAATGGACTATTAAAGACTGTCGATGATGACAATACCAATACAATCTATCTCTGTGCCAAATTTCATCAAAATCGTCGAAGAGCCGAAGCAGCGGGACAAATGAGCCGGCTCGACGGAGAGATAGAAAGAACTCAAAGAAAACCGCCGCTAAGCAATTGTTCAGAGGGCCTAATGCAAGTTTACGTCACCGTGACTATCAAGTAGAAGTGCAATAATCTCGGCCCTGAGTTGTAGTTACCGTTGTCGAAATTTCCCTCCCCCTGATTCTGAGTGAAGAGGTGAGGGGGCGGGGGGGTTATGGCGGAACCGCAGTTGTGACACTTAGGAAGCAGGTGCCCATGGTTGTTGATAGTCATTTATCATCCGGTGACCCACCTATATAAAAAATAACAGTGGCACAGAAGTGACAACTTATATAGTTATATACAGGTGTCGGTAACGATAACAGTGTCGCGAGTTCAATTGTTTTCCCATCTCAAAAAATGCCCAACACGCCTCAAGAAATTTTCACTTCAAAATTAAATGTCGTTAGTATTGGCGTGATTAAGTAACAAAGGAACAAACACCCGTCTATAAATACTTTCAGATTTGTAATCTTATCATAGATTGTTTTGTTTGAAAACAATATGAGATTACGCTAACATAGTCTTTGTTGTTATTTTTCAGTCAATTGGTGATTTAGAAGAATTACATCAATTAGAAGAGACTTCAAGCGAGCTTATACCTGCGTGAGTTCATATGTATATATTGAGCATAGCCATAATTTACGAATGTAGATTCACAAAACTTTGTGAGTGGTCCTTCAGGTATTACGCAAGCATCAAAAACAGGAGGGAAGGAGGGGTCGTTTGATTTGCTTATTTTAAATTACATTCTTGATTCTGTGTTGGTTTATATCCCACAGCTGGTACCTGTGAAAGGAGGGATACCGAGATCTCACAAAAAACCAACCAAACCAAATTCCAACATAATTTGTATTAATCACGGCTGTTCTCTAATAACCTTTCTTCTTCGCCCCACCCCCCCTCCCTCCCCCACAAGACTGAGTTTGTGGGCTCATCCTTTATTGTGAATTCCGTTCTTCTTTAGAATGAGCTTTCTCTCGAAGTCAGGATGGCCACTAACACTTTCTCATTCAAAATTAAAGTAAAACAGTATCTTGTAAAAAAACTGGCAGGTCCACTGTCATATGCTTGTCATCTAATATTGTTAATGGTATTTATTTACGTATGTAATATATATTGTGTACTCATATGTAAGTTTATATGTATTTAGGTATACCTATGTATGTACGTATGTATAGTGTATGAGTTCTAGTGTATGATAGGTTTATGTTCGCGTCTTTGATATTTTACAACAACACATATATTTTACAACTAGCTGAGACCCGCGGTGTTACCCGCGTTTGTTGTTATAACCGCGGGCAACGCCGCGTTGCGAAGCTAGTCTAAAAAAAAATAGCCTAAGTTACTCCTTATGTCATCAGCTATCTGCCAGTGAAAGTCCCGTCGAAATCGGTCCAACCGTTCCAGACAGACAAAAATTGTAAAATATGTTATTTTGGCGTATGTACCGTATAAACATACATATGCATTTAGTAAAAAGCGGTTATTTTAATATTACCAACAGACACTTCAATTTTATTTATTTGTATAGAAAACAAACTTTAAACAAAGGCACCTACTTCCTGTTTTCCTGCGTCACCCAAAGGTTGACTTGCCTTAGGCATTAAGTCTTCCAATGCACCAAAAGTGAGGTTAATAGAGGAAACGAGCTCTTAATGCACTTGTGTCTGTTTCGTTACAAGCGCAGAAACGCCTGGAACTCTAGAGATAGAAGAACTCTTTCATACCAGTGTCAAGACACTTAATTTTCACGAAGAGTTCCAAAATAAATCACGCTCCCACGGTGGTTCTTCCAAGTCAGCAACGCTCACTTAATTTAGTTTTACATATATTAACTTCTTTTTTGTTACAGGGAGGGGCAGGATAAAAAAGAAACAGAATCTGTTCAAAGTCTGGAACGATCGTTACCACCAGGGCTTGGGTATGACCCTAATTCCTCTTAAAGTTTGCATATAATAGAGCTTAGTAGGGTCGGACTTGTACGTACCACAACAAAGCTCTGATAACCCTTACTACGGTCGCTAGTAGATTGGAAAATATTTGCTACTTTTAAATCATATTCAAATGATGAAATGATTAGTTTTGTCACTGTGATTTCACCTGCGATAAGTAAATATTTAGATTTGGTCATAGTCAATGATAAATGACATCAAAATCAATTAAACTAACCTTTTTTTTTAGATTTAGACCTTTCGCGAGTCTGGCACCAGCGTAATAATAATAAGTCACAGTGATGGTGTAGATGAGTCACAGGTTTGATAAAATGATTTTAAAATCATATGAATAACCACCGGCGATTATGATTTTATCTCATGATTAGTCGCTAGGATAATAATGCGGTCTTTTGATGAGAATCTAAAAAAGACGTACTTTTGTGATATTTGTTTACAAGCTATTACCCGCGGCTTCGCTCACGTGATTATTTCTTATTTCGTGTTTCTAACTCTGAGAATAACGAACTTCCATACAACCGTTCATCTCGTAATTTAGCCCCTTTTTTTTCCGTGCGGAAATCCCCTCGGATACCACCTGTCGGTGGCATGTCGGACTCGAACCGACTAAAACCGCACGCCGTCTCAGGTACTAATAGCCGGGGAACCAGGTATACCCTAGAAAGGAAGGCCCTGGTGCAGGAAGTCCCTGGTGCTTAATTTAGCCCCTGAGGAATGAAATTTCCAAGCATCCTTTCTTAGTGGGTGCTTGCAACACTCAGCTGCCAAAATTTCAAGTTTATTGGCCCAATGGTTTAGGCTTTAGGTACGTTAATGCATCAGTCAGTCGGGTCAAGTAATTTTAAATGTATAAATTATTGCTTTTTTAGGAGCGTTCATCACGATAGCCTAGAAGTCATACCGAGTCACAAACCGGACGATAAGTTTAAGGACCACACCATTAACTACGAACGGGTAAGTGGAGTGATCTATGCTTCGGCAAATATGGGCCAGACTTGACCGGAGTGATACTTCGATCTCTACGAGTTCTTTCGTTGCTCTACGTCCCCCTGATTCGGGGAGAGGGACTAAAAGGCGGCAACTCAACAATTTGTGAGTTGCAGGTTTTCATGGGCGGCGGTAGTCACTTACCGTCAGGTGACCCGACTGCTACTTTACCCCCTATACCATTAGAAACGGCGTGAGGGGTCTATGGACCAACGGTCGGAACGAAGTTCACGGTAGAGCTATGGGCGGCGATGTATATAGTTCATACACAGTTGTAACTACAACATTCAAGAAGTGTCGGGAAAAAGTCTTGTTACACATTTCTCGTTTCCACCCGCTCAGAGCGTGTAACGCGCGATAATGAACTTCGTTCAAAAAGTGATCTTGGATAAAACCAAGACGAGACCGTCATTCCTAATTATTTCATACAAATATGACGTTTTGCCGTTTTGACGTTTACTTAAATATGTTGCTTGGACTTAACAGCCTTCTTTGTCTGTGATTTTTTGTTATAAGCTCTAAATTATCCACCAGTATTGTCCCGTGGAGAGGTGTAAACTGATGCAAGTGGATTCCTTCACTAGGAGTCTACCTCCATATATGAAGGCCAGTCCATACATTCAGTTCCAGCAGTTGTATGAAGATTACGAGACTTGCTCACCAGGTAAACCGTAAAAGTAGAGAGGATTGAGAGAATGTTAGGGACAGAGAAATGAGACGCCAAAGCTGAAACCATAAAGGAAATGGTTGGTTGTTAGGCTTATCACTTACGTGGGACCTACATTATTAACCACGATCTCTTCTCGACTTCTCTTTCTCCCGCGTTCTTTCTGCATCCAATTACTTAGATCGAGAATTATGCTTTTATTTGTTCAAACAGCATACACATTGCCCTCCTGCTGATAAGCACTTACCTTAAAACTAACAGCTTATACTCACTAAATTTTTATCGATCACCAGAGCAACTGGAAATACTGAAAGAACGCTTGGCTGCCAAAAATGCTGAGAACGTCGATGAGGAAGAGTCGGAATCCTCTGTTAAAGAGTGGGAGGAAGGAGGCGTTGGCACGCAGACCTCACTGGAATCAATGCTGCCCCCGTGCACATGCACCGAGGGTAATCCCAGTCCTGTGGATAGTAAATTTGTTTTCGATGGTGAGTATGCAAAGAGAAATAGCCTTTATTGAATAACTGCTTATGACTAGATGATTGCTGGCCTGTTCACTAACTAATCAGAGTGAAAACTTACCTTACGCGATACAGGATCGGTAGATACAGCGTGGTTCGGCACGACTTTACTAGGTGGCGCTGAAGAGGATAGGAGACATAATGTTACAAGTTGTCTTTTCTCAACACCTTTAAAAATTATTCCTAAAAGAGATGAGATGAGACTAGTGACTTTAGGATGAATAGAATAATTTTATCGAATAGGTGAGAAGAAAAGTGGGAGAGCCATACAGACCGGCTCGACTGGAGTGACCAGCTTTACAGAAATTCGGTGTTAAGCAATTCTTTGTTGCTTTTCACCGAGATTATCAGAGGTCCCCACCTTTTATTCTGGTAAACCTTTTACTCTAGGGCAGGGGTGGTAAGGGGGGCGGTGGTAGTTGCCATCAGGTGATCTATTTGCTCGTTTGATGAAAACTAATATTGAGCCATCGTCATCAACATCCATAATGCCGTGAGTGACCTTCACAGGCGCGGAATACCTTGACACGATGTTATTTTACGGGGAACTCTATCAAAACGCATCTTTAGCTTTACGGACAAACCGAGGTATGGAATCAAGCGTGTATGTCCTACAAACTGCGGAATTTTTGTAAGGGCGGTACACAGACAACCAAAGTACCTACCTACTTTTTCAAGAGGTGACACGTACTGCCGGGTCCGAAGCTAATTCCTGAATAAACACCTGAATAAAATCGTATTTTTAATTAATTGATTTTAAAAAAGCAAGTAAAGTAAGTAATTAAGTGATAGTAAGTAGAATGTAAAGTTCGCTAGTTCGTCGCGACGGCGTTGTCACTTTGATGTCGCCGACATTGCGACACTGCCGCCGACAGTTCAAGGACTCATGTTAACAATGGTGTTCTAATTCGACATTATTTTATTGTATTTATTTAGTTCTAAATTTACATTTCTGTATTTTCGTACTAAATATATTTTTTAATTTTAACCGACATGTGGTGACGGATTAAGAATACTGAGTGTCACCACCCCTATTCATCCCGTGGGTGTCGTAAGAGGCGACTAAGGAAGCAAACTACGCAGGACAACAGCACTGCAGAGAGAAGGAAAACTTGAAACAAACCCTATACCAAGCCGTCTGGCCACCGTAGTATAGTAGGCCAAAACCTCCTTTCTAAAGAGAGGTCTATGTCCAACAGTAGACTAGTAAAGGCTGTTGATGTTGATGTGAAACGACATATTATATTAAACCGTGTTATTCTTTTTTTAAATTTATGTGATAACCTATACGCCACGGTGTATAAAACAATGTGTTAAAAATGATAATTGTCATTTTCAGTACGTGACTTGATACCGGTGAAGCAAGTGATAGATTTTGTCAGGAAGGAATGCCTGTTTGACGACACCATAGACTTTGATAGATTCAAAGTTGTTGGAGAACACAGCGATCATTCTATGTGAGTCATTCTCTAACACTTATTTTTTACTAAAACGTTTAATAGAAGTTCTTTTATCCAAAGATGCGGAACATGAGCTGTCTACTTGCACTTTCTGCTTTGATATCCTAGTGCAAGGGTAGCTTAATTGCGTGTTTAAAAAATTAGAAAAATTGTGCAAGAGCCTATAGGCGTTTTAGGAGTCTTTTTGATTTTGTCAATTTTATGCGCAAAGGTATTTATTTGGTTTATATTTTGTCAGCTATACTTATTCAATGTAGGTATGGCTGATTGATCATTAGGAGTTTCAGTCAGTCAAATTTGCAGTCAGTAAATGCGATTGGTCTATTTGGCGAATGGTCAAAATCGCCATCGGTCGAAAATTTTATTTCACTTATATATTTTGACGCTCTGCTATTTTGACGGTTAGCTATTTGACGGATTGGGATTTTCACGAATTTGACCTATTGCAAACTTGACCATATGCGACGAAACAATAATTAGGTGCTAATATCACAGAATAACTTGTGCAATTCCATATAATTCTCTATTAATATTTGCAAATTAACTAAATAATTTATTAATCCTGGAATATAATTCAATTGCGATTTCAAATTTCAGACTGAGGGAATCAAAACCAGTAATCGACTCCAACAGAGCCAGGGTACAGTCGCTCACCAGGATTCTCCGACAACATCCCAGCCTGTTAGACATATTTCAAGCCAACACACGCTGCTAGTAAAACACAAGTGCCGTGTATACTTTTATTTCTAAATTATAAGTAACAAACAAACTAAATCCTAATAAAAAATATTGAAATACAGTTTTTGAGTCAGTACCCACAATAAAATTAGGACTAGAAATTTTTAAAACGTCAAATACCTAGCAACAAAAACGAGACAGAAGTAAATTTAGTCTAACAATTTTTATATTTTTTTACTTTTTTTTAAGACTTACATTTTTTTTTATACATACATTCCATGATCTTTGGTCTTTAAAGCTAAACCTAAAGGTTTTAAACATAGTCAGGACTTTGGTACATAGGCTGTTTCTGATTTATAATGTTATTAATCTCCTTTTGTACAGTTTCCTCTATTGTTATTATATCTCCTACACTGTCTTTGAATTCTTCTTCATGATCTGTGTTTAACTCATATTTATCATTGACATTCTCTGTATCTTTAAAAATATCATATTTCATATTAGTAACAGTAATATTTAGACTCCTATTACTGATTGATGAATCAAGTGCATTGTGTACATCGTTTAAACAAGGCTTAGAATGACTTTTCAGAACTGGTATTCGGGATTCTTCAACTTTAGTTTTTGAATCTAGGAGTCGGATAGTATTCTCTTCAACTCGAGGTTTTGAATCAACAGTTCTAATTTTAGTATCTTCAATACTGGTTTTAGATTCAGTAGCTCTTGTGTTAGATTCATCGATTTTAGTCTTCGATTCGATGGATTTAAAACTCGATTCATCCACTTTGGGTTTAGAGATTGGTGGCCTAATGTTAGCTTCGTCAGCTTTAGTTTTAGATTCACTGGCCTTAATATTAGATTCTTCCTCTTTAGTTTTAATTTCTTCTATTTTTATTTTACTTTCTTCACCTTTAACTTTTGTATCTAAAGTTTTTAGAGAAGGTGTTCTCATTGGAGAATTGATGAGACAGTCGGTGGACATCAAGTTAGTTTCGAAAGGGACAGATAAGGTATTTTGTAAGGCTTCAGCCTCCTTCCGTCTAGTTTGTTTTCTTTCTAATTGATTTTGTAGCTCATTTATTCTTTCTTCTTTAAGTTTAAGTAGATTGTCCAGATGTTCTACCTGTCGAAAATAATAATACAGCTTTATTTATGACCAATTTATCATAAAACCACGTGTGGAGCGCATCGTAGAGATAAATGATGGTACCTATTTGATTAGATTATTTGAACATTGTCTAAAGATAAGCAAAATACGCTTACCCTCATTTATGACCTACAATTATTAATTGAGATTTGTTAGGCAAGGTATTTAATAAATCTATCTGTATATCTACATAGACGAGAATATCGACTTGGATTCCGTATCGGCACAGTAATATCACACATCACGTGTGATATTACTGTGAATTTCAGAAACTTAGTAATTAGGCTTGCCTTTAATTGAAGGCAGATAGATACAGGATCATCATCCCGTCAGCTCATAGTAATTTATTTCCTGCAAAATGTTTCCCAGTTGTTGTCTCCTCATGTTTCCCAGTTTTGTTTAATTTAAAACTACTCTGGGAAATATGACCAAAGGTATTAAAACTATGAAATTTGGAAACAACATACAACATGGCGAAAGGGATTAACGAAAGAAAGGGATATTCTGGAATTACACCAATAAATAGGCCATACTCATAATTAAAAATTGTCAGTTGGCTAACTTGTGGATTACAATACCACGAGTTATCTTTTAACAGCAACAGGAATGGTCAAATATCGACTTAAAATATGCAAAACAAAGAGACCTTCTGTTTCAGGACTTCAGTGGCACTATAAGCATCTTTTAACTCCTCTTTGAGAGTACAGTAGGTGTCGTAGCTCACGACCTTCTGTTGCAACGTCTCCAACACACCGTTGATCCTTGTCTTGACAGGAACCACCAAAATGTGTTCTGTAATATAAAAAATATAAATAAATATTATTATGTATATCACCAGTACGGTTACTACAATACAACTCTGCCTAGGTTATGTTCAGATGATCGTGTACAACCTGTGTTTAGTTACTATTATTATAGTAGAAGCTAGTCTGAGACCTGTTTAATAATATCCTAGATGCCTTTTATCGCAATATAATAATAATATTTTCGGATATCTGACACACAACGCCATCTAGTTACAAAGTACGCAGAGCCTGTACTATGAAAACTAGATTGACTGATAGAATACATATATTCTTTTTTTTAGTAAATTCATAAATATTATAATAGAAAACACCCAAACTCCGAAACAAATATTTGCAGATCATACAAACATTTGGTCCGACCCGGGAATTGAACCCGAGACCTCAGCACGGCAGCCGCAGACGCTACCACTGCAACACCGAGACAGTATTTAAAATTGTAGTACCATCATCCCCACATGCTTCATAGTAACTACCGCCACTTGACATGTTCGTGCCCTCGTCTTTGGATGCCTTGTTCGCCTCCTCATCGCGACGAATTTTATCACGCACTAGAATGTTACAGAGCAAATATTAGTAGAGTCGACTATGAAATTATTATACTTAAACTCGGGAAGAAAATCTATAAGTCATTGATAAGACCCCAAACGACAAAGGTTAGTATTGTATATTTGATATAGAGTACTGAGTATAGCCAGGGAAAAAAATGGAATCTTCTAATGGCTAGACAGAGCTGACAGCTGATATAATTTATGAGTAGAAAAAGCCAAACTTACAATTGCAGTAGCCCCAACCCGGATTTGTAATATATACAAAACAAAAAAAAGGAAAGCTGCTGTTTGAATCATCATGAACACATGGATTTTTCTACTTTGTGAATATGAATCAAGCCCCCTGACCAATCAGATTCCAAGAAACAATCGTTTCGTACTAAAGCTTTGGAACATAATTGGTCAAGTTGCGGGGTTTGAATGCGTCACTATTTTCTTAAGGCGAATGGACTATAATAGTCAAATAATGTACTATTTGAACTTACCCATTACGAGTACTCTCTCAATGACCCCAGAAGAAGAATTGGCGAGTTGTTCCATAGTGTTCAGACAGAGGTTCAGCTTGAGCTTCTTCAGCACTTTCCTGTTGAGGGTCATCCAGTTATTGAGCTTGAGTGAGTGACTGTTGCGAGGAGGGTAGTTGTGCATCTCGACAAGCTTCGGATAGTGGACATTGAGGATTTCTGCTAGGAGAACTGAGAAAGAAAATAGTCAAGTATGTGTATATGTATGCAATCAATAGGCGCTGTTATAAAAATTAAAGATTCGAACCTCAATCTCACACATGGCCGTCTGACCCCAAACCAGTCATAACTAGTACTATGGTAAGCACACTGCTGATAAATAAACTTAAATTATACATTAATTATTATTTGCCTTGAGTAGGAATCAAACACGCGACTTTAACATTGCTAACCTGCTGCTATGCTTAATAAATTACTTGATATATTATAAAAGAAAATTGTCTTTTAATAAAACAACCGCCTTTTGCCTCAGGCTTCGTGTAGTTTTCCCACAGTTTCATATTTATTTTTGGGTTAGAGATACCACTTGTCCCGTGTGGTGACGGAGTCTGTGGGGTGCGGGGTGAAGGATTAAGAATACGGAATGTCACCACCCCTATTTATCCCGTAGGTGTCGTAAGAGCCGACTAAGGGGAAACTACGAAGGACAACAACACTGCAAAGAGAAGGAAAACTTGAAATAAACCCTATATCAACCCGTCTGGTCAGCGTGGTGCAGTAGGCCAAAACCTCTTTTCTAAGGAGAGGCCTATAGGCCATCATCATCAACAGCCTATAGGTCCAGCAGTGGACTGTTATAGGCTGTTGATGATGATTTTTTTTTTTTTTTTTTTTTATTTATTTAACATATTACAAAGCAATTTACAACTACTGATTATAATAGTGCATTTGAAAACCACTGAGGTTTGTAAAAAATGCAACAGATGCTACATCAAGCGAGGTTGATACAAATTAACACCATACAGTAAAATACATACGTCATTATGTAGGTACTTTTAAAATAATTATAAAATTTAAGCGTACGGGCGCAGAACGGTGAAGTGAACTCCGAGTCAGGCAAGGAGAGGAAGAGGGATTACTTACAAAGACGAATAGGCCATGTTTTCCAAAAAGAATTCCTTCAAATTATGTTTGATATTTTTTTCGTTTAGGCATTTATTTATATCGGAGGGTAGTTCATTAATTAATCGCGGTACTATGTATCGTGTTGTTCTCTCACCAAACACGTTAACAGCGCGTGTCGTCATCAACCTGTTTAGTGAGACTGCTCGTGTACATACAGGATGTTCTACTTTATCACCCAAATTGTATTTAAAATACTTTTCTTTCAACAAACTATATTTTATTTTTATGTGAATGGGTAGAACTTTACAGTGTTTAAAAAGACCCAGCTCATTGTTATTGTATTGTAAATTAATGTGTGGAGATGTTATTGTCTTTAATATTTTTAGTTGCAATCTGTATATAATATTTATGTAGGTCTTGTAAGTTCGCCCATAGGTGGTGAGTCCATACTGAATATGAGACTCGGCTAGGGAGTTATAGAGTAACAATTTAACACGATAAGGAATACGACGATTTAAGATCTTAATGTTTGCCAGAAAACATCTTAGCTTATCACATACCTTATCGATATGGGGTTTCCAGTTTAGTTTGTCGTCAATGATGAGGCCCAGATATGCATGGGATGTTACAAGTTCAATGATTGGACAACAACAACCACCACTATTGGAGCCATGTAAGCATGCGTGTTCGTGAGCTATTAGATGTTTGTTGACCGGTGAGGGCTTTAAGTATGGTGACCTGATGTGTAATATTTTGGTTTTATTTGCATTAAGAACAAGCCCCGCATCATGACACCATTTGCAAAGGGTATAGAAATCTGACTGTAGGTAATCATATGCTCTATCTAGGTCCCTATCACTGACTAGTAGACACGTATCATCGGCAAATTGATAACAGGTGCTCTGTTTAAAACAATTGCTCATATCATTCACATATGTCAAGAAATGAAGGGGTCCTACAACTGATCCTTGTGCCGTGCCCTCGGAAACAGTGACAGTATCACTGAACGCATCGTCGACCTTAACAGTATATGTGCGGTTAGAGAGATAATTTTTAAACCATTCTAGTACAGGTCCACGTATCCCACAAGTGTCAAGTTTTTGTAGGAGCACGTCGTGATTAAGGGTATCGAAGGCACGGGAGAAGTCGATGAAGAGCGCTAGGGTATGCTTTCTTTCATTCATAGACTCGTTAACTTGGTCAGTAAACTTTGAGAGGACGTCACTAGCACCCTTTCCCTGCTGAAAACCAAATTGATTTATGTAAATGATTTCTTTATCTTTATAAAAATTATTCACCTGATTACAGATATATTTCTCGACTATTTTGTCGATGGTAGAGAGAAGCGTGATAGGCCGATAGTTGCTATATTCGTTGCGGTGGCCTTTCTTAAAGATCGGTCTCACGCAGCCAATCTTTAATTCATTAGGGTAGTCACCAGTTTCAACACTACAGTTAATAAGATTAGCTATTGCCTGAGAAATGCCACTCTTTACTGTTTTAATATCTGAAACCGAAATACCGTCTAGACCTGGAGCTTTGTTTGTATTTAATGTTCTTATTATTTTATCAATGTTGTTACTCGTAGCCTTTTGCAATCGAATGCTAGAGTTTACGGGATTGTAAAACGCGTTCCTATCTAACAATTGGGTCGTACATTGCGGAATAATTTTTTTGACCGCCTGATCAAATTCATTAGCGAACCCATCCGCCAAATCTTTTGTTGAAAGACCTTGCGGTTGAAATGCTCTAATAATGGCTTCATCGATGGATAAGCTTATGCGGCCTAGCATGTGATTTATAATCTGATAGGTTTTTTTAATATTATTGAAATTATCGCTAATAGTATTTATGTAATAAGAGTTTCTACAGTTGTCAAGTATTTTATGAATTTTATTACGTAATTTATTATATTCTAGTCGCAATTCAAGATTATTAGGATTTTGTTTCCATGTGCTAAACAGGCGATCGCGTTTTTTACACAATTTGTTAATATTTTCATTGATCCAGGGAGCCCGATATAAGCCTTGGTTTATTTTATATTTTTTTGTAGAACTTGCCCGGTCATGTGCACAGTTTAAGGAATCCCTAATGAAAGTATAAATTTGCTTTGGACAGTTCATGTCACCGGTCTGCGTCCATATCACCTTATTTATTTGATCATTTAACTCTTTATAATTTACATGTGTCTTGGTAACACCCTGTGTGCGCCGTGTCTCTAAGCATTGGCTTACGCAAGAAAACATAATGGCTTTATGGTCGGCCAGTACCACGTCGAGCGCTGCTGAGTACGGATCCAATGTGGGGAATCGTGCGAACAAGTGATCAATGCAAGATTTTGTTGTCGTATTCAATTTAGTCTCAATTCTAGTGTAGTCAGTGATTCCACACATAAACCCGCGCTCACTCAGTGCTTCTAAGTATGCTTCAGTATGTGACGACATGGTTTTCAGATCTATATTCATATCGCCGATTAATAGTGCATTGTTTTGCAATTTGAAGTTAGACACGTATTTAGCAAGTTCTTTAACAAACAGCCCTTTGCGAGCATATGAAGATGGTGGCCTATAAATAGCACACACAACTACGTCTTGGCTATCTGTTTTTAAGATACCCGTTATATTTTCGAAAGTTAAGCTTTTATATGGGATTGTAGTAAATTTTAAATACTTTTTTGTGTAAATAATAATACCGCCACCTTTTCTATTTATTCGTAGTTGTGAGTGCATGTTGTAGCCAGGTATATTAAATAACCTGACAATATTCTCGGATATGCCAACCTCTGTAAGCACAATCATGTCCAGTGGATAAGAACATTCATGGATAATTTGTAACAATTTAGTGAAGTTCTTTATTATAGATCTAATATTAACGTGTAAACATGAGAAAAACAAACTATGATTTGAAGGCAGTTGTTTAAAGAAGTAGTTAGCGGAGTTACAATTCTTAATTTCTTTAGGCTTTAGTGGTTCCATGAAAATAGAAACAGAAGATTAGTTTACATTCCTATTAGAGCAACACATTATTTACCTTTACGTAGAACTGGTAGGTGGGTAGTTGGCTATCAGTTCAATATCCTGGATCGAATGAATGTAGTGAATCTTGCTGCCGCTTGTTTGCCGAGCGCATACCTTCCCTTCCTTAATCCATATGAATTGGTGCGAACTGCCCAGTTTTTGTTTAGTTGTATAAAAAAGCGTCTTCATGTATTTAGTTAGAGCTTCACGTACAAATACCTTATTGTTAGCCTTCTCCGCTGGTGTGTCAGGTAGAATCAATCCGAGTGTTAGGCGTTTACTTTTGCTAGCAGCAATCCATCGACCCTGTGCAGCCTTTGTTTTCATCTCAGCCAGTATATACCCAGGCTTACCCTTGTGCCCGTTTACATGACGAGTTGACTGGATGTCCTGCTCATTTACCTGCAATTTAGCTGCTACCGAACCCAATATTTTATTAGTATCCTGGGATGGTCCCTCCGGTAACCCAGTAACTTCAACGTATGTTGATAGTGTACGTTGTTCATATTGTTCTCTTCCTCGTTCTAGAATCGCAACTCGTAATTCCAAATTTTTATTTTTGTTATTTAAATCTGTGGTTTTATTTTCCAAGTCCTTGATCCTTTTATCCTGATTTTTAATGTAAGTTTCTAGGGTATTGATTTGGTCACTCAAGAAATCAAGAGATGCTTCTAAGGCGCCAACCTCTTCTTTTACCGTCTTTTTTAGCTCCCGACTAATGTCTTGTATGAGCTTCCTGTGGTCAAGAGTAGATTGGTGGGTAATGACAGTACCTGAATCGGAGTCCTCATCGGCATCGTCGTCTTCTGGGATGATATATGACGTCCTTCGTGAAGTATTAAGCAGACATGTCTCACAACTCCACTCAATGCTGTTTGAGTTACGTAGGGTGCTCAACTGCTTGTTGGACAGTTTAGCACACTCAGAATTCGCATGTACTACTTTGGAACATCTGCTACATTCCAAACCAGGAGACTTCTTGGTAATATTCTTTTTGCAACCAAAACATTTTTTTATAACCATATTTGAAGGGTAGAACAGTACTAATAATCTACACAACCGTACAGTAAGTTTGTCCCTTACTGCAATGTATCTATGTAAACGAGTTTTTCAGTTCAAAACTTAATGACAACCAAATGACCGAATGTCCGCGCACAACCAAACACTGATATTATGTTCATATAATCTTATATATAAAATTCTCGTGTCACAATGTTCGTTCCCGTACTCCTCCGAAACGGCTTGACCGATTCTCATGAAATTTTGTGTGCACATCGGGTAGGTCTGAGAATCGGCCAACATCTATTTTTCATACCCCTAATGGTAAGGGTGACCCATCCCTATTTTTTTTTTGTTTTGCAATACAACGTTTGCCGGGTCAGCTAGTATAGTATACTAATTTAATAAAAACATACGCTGATATAACGTTATGTAACTTTAAAACAATCACTAATAACTTCAGGAGATTTGTAATTACGTACATCAGTTTTTGATATATGGTAGTCATTCATTTTGTTAGTAAGGGGTCATTGAATGGTTACGTATTACACTTTTATTTCTACATTTATATTTTAGAAATTGGTATCGATTCAACATTCTCTAAAACTAACTACTTTCACTACAAACTCATATATACAACCCATATAATATACCTTAGTATGTTTATCAGCAGTTTAGTTATTATAGTACATTCTCTGCTTAGTTTGGGATCAAACGGCCGTGTGTGAGATTTCTAAAGTTATAATTATTCGAATTATTTAAAAAAATTACAATGGATGATTTCGAAAAATTGGTAATCAATTAAAAAAAATAAAGATACCGAATCTGAACACGAAACTTTATAGTATGTACGATTTGCTTGCATAAATTGAGGCTTGTAGGTAAGTCTAGTAGTGCATTTATTACACGCATTGAATACAAATCAGTTTTTTATTGAAAATCTAGTTTTTTTTTATATTTATTCATGGCACAAGGTTACAGTTCATATAAACACAGTAACAGTGAAGAAAACCACAGGTGGTTTATGTATCACTGCCATCACTCGCTTTGTATGTAGTACATTGCAGATTATTATTATTACTATTTTTCCTTTTATACATAATATATATACGTATTAGAAATGTGGAATCTAACATGAGACAAGAAGACCGAGTAAAAATCTTACCAGCATCAGAAAAATCTCTGTTGATCTTCTTTGTAGGCCTTGAAAGGTTAAAAGTATCAACCCATGTCAAAACTGTTTCTATCTCCGATAGAGGTATCGGAGACTCAAATTGAGACATTATGCCCAATTCTTAATTTTATGTATATATATATAATATTTTTATATTTAATTTTTTTTTCGTTACTGATATTTGACAATAGTAATTTAACGTGTTTGTTGTCACTTGTCATGTTTTATCTAAACTGTGTGTCAAGCCTAAAAGGTATATCAGTGCCAGTGTGATTAAGGCCACGTACTAGGAAAAAGGTTGGCTTGGCTGTTTGGGATCGAACTATCTATTGCGAAAAGAGCGAATATGTAATTTTTTCATATTGGATAGGTAGGATAGGAGCAATTTTCTTAAAGGTTTAGCTTTTAGAGGGGGGACACATTTTACTCAAACAAAAATTAAAACTTTAAAGTTCAATATTTCACAAACGTATCACTAAATCGAAAATTAGTTTCCAAATTTATTGAAATATTGTTGAAAAAGTTTTCCAATGTAATCCCGCACTATGTGTAAAAACCCATAAATAAATAATAAACTCCCACTTTACGGGTTTTGGAGGTACCGTAATTTTTTTTACCGCTTTGTTGGTGTATTATATATGTATGCGCCCATATAAAATTCAATTTTTCTAGTACTATCAGTCTGTAAGCTAAGTTGCTGACGAACGGACGGACGAACAGACGGACATGGTGAAACGATAAGTGTTCCTAGTCCTAAGACGACATCCTAAAAAGAAGAGCAGAACATAAACTTACTGAACTGTTTTCCTTTACCTACATTTAAGTGCATTATATATAGTCTCTGAAATGACCATAAAATTCTCCGTAACCTAGAGACTTATTTTATAACTATAAGTTAACGACCATCTAACAAAATGCATCTCTCTACGAACTGTCCACTTTATGTAGATCCATCTGTGCTCTCAACTCAAACAGATTTAAAAAGATTAATGCACCTAGAGATGGCTATATAAAGTTGTTGAATAATAACGACAGCTAACAGTACATTTTATATAGAAATCGCGCTTTCTATGTGCTGTTTCAAATGTGGTGGTTAGTATAGCTAGTGGCTATTCAATACCTCTAAAGAAACCCGAACCGTGTCGTTGAAATGTCATCTCGCCACATTTTTTAAAGAGGTCATCATTTTGTTGACTTATGACGTCACTGATTAATTCATCAATCATCATCAACAGCCTTTAATAGTCCACTGCTGGACATAGGCCTCTCCTCGGAAAGGAGGTTTTGTCCTATACTATACCATGCTGACCAGAAGGGTTGGTATAGGGTATGTGTCGGGGTATGTGTATGTGTAGGGTCTGGGACGGCTCCGTGGCACTGGGACGGCTCCGTGGCAGTCGTCGGTTCCACGACGGCTCATTCCCCGCCCTTGTCGCTAAGAGACAAGGGCACTGGATATGTTGCCGTCGAGTGGGGGGGGATCACCATATATGGTGTCTATTTCTCCCCCAACCGGAGTTTGAACGACTTCGAGGTTTTCCTAACCAGCTTGGAGACCTCGATACGGCGACTAGCGTCTGGGCACGTCCTTGTGCTGGGGGACTTCAACGCAAAGTCCATTGCGTGGGGTTCCCCCAGGACGGACGCCAGGGGCGAGGCCGTAGAGGAGTGGGCGGCCTCGGTGGGCCTCTGTCTTCTAAACAGAGGCTCCACCAACACGTGCGTGCGACAGCAGGGGGGGTCGATAGTGGACCTCTCGTTCGCTACCCCTGCCCTCGCTGCACGAGTAAGGAACTGGTGTGTCCTGGAAGAGGTTGAGACGCTCTCGGATCACCTGTATATCCGATTTGAGCTCTCCCAGACCCAGGACTCCAGTAGGGGTCACGTGGCGCGGCGTTTATCCCGCTTTCCGCGGTGGGCTGTTGCCAGGCTGAACCGGGACCTACTAGAGGAGGCAGCCATAATTCACTCGTGGCTGTCTCCTCAGGCTCCGACCGAGGAGGTCGACGTGGGGGCTGGCCGCTTTCGCGATGCGATTACGCATGTATGCGATGCGGCCATGCCCCGCGTTCGAGGTCGTCGGCCTCCAAGGAAGGAGGTCTACTGGTGGTCCCAGGAGCTGGCGGACCTCCGTGCGGCCTGTACACGTGCCCGGAGGTCCTACACGCGCAGTCGGCGGCGTCACCGTGGAGACGGTGAGGAGGACCGGCTTCATGAGGAGTACCGACGGGCGCGGAAAACTCTGAAGCTGGCCATTAGCCGCGCCAAAGAAGAAAAAAGACAGGAGATGCTGGAGGGTCTTAATCGTGACCCCTGGGGTCGCCCTTACCGCGCGGTGCGACAAAAGCTCCGCGCGTCGGGCCCCCCCCTTACGGAGACTCTCCAGCCCAGCTTCCTGCGAGAAGTGGTTGAGGGCCTTTTCCCGCAACGAGCGGAACACACTCCCCCGGCGATGGCCTCCTTGGCCGGAGACGACGGGGAGCACGGGGAGGAAAATGTTCCGCCCGTCCGGGATTCGGAGGTAGGGGCGGCTGTTCTACGGATCCGTTCCAAGAACACCGCCCCTGGGCCAGACGGGGTACCGGCCCGAGTGCTGGCCCTGGCCCTCAACCACTTGGCAGACCGCCTCGGGGAGGTGTTCGACGCTAGCTTGGCGTCGGGACGCTTCCCTGAGTGCTGGAAGAGCGGGAAGCTGGTCCTATTGAGGAAGCCGGGACGGCCTGCCGATTCGGTCGCGGCCTATAGGCCCATCGTGCTGCTGGACGAGGCGGGCAAATTGTTTGAGAGGGTTCTTTCTGCCCGCATCGTCCGGCACCTCTGCGAGGTGGGCCCCGATCTGTCGGACGCCCAATTTGGTTTTCGGGCGGGGCGTTCGACAGTCGACGCTGTGTTGCGCCTGAGGGCCGTGACCGAAGAGGCCGTGAGCTGTGGCGGCGTGCTGTTGGCGGTGTCATTGGACATCGCCAACGCATTCAATAGTCTGCCATTCAGCTGCATCAGGGAAGCACTCCACTATCATGGGGTGCCAAAGTACCTGAGGCGGCTGGTGGCAGACTATTTAGAGGAGCGTACCGTCGTGTACGAGGACCGAGAAGGTAATTTGAGGAGTCGGCCCATGTCGTGCGGTGTTCCACAGGGGTCTGTTCTTGGACCCCTCTTGTGGAACATAGGGTACGACTGGGCCCTTCGCGCCGATTTCCCCCCCGGGCTGGGTGTAATCTGTTACGCAGACGATACCCTCGTGACAGCCCGGGGGGCAAACTTCCAAGAGGCGGCGCGCCTGGCCACAGGGGGAGTCTCCCTGGTGGTCGGGCGCATTGAGGCGCTGGGCTTACGGGTGGCCCTAGATAAGACGGAGGCCCTGTTATTTCATGGGCCCCGTCGTGGTCCACCCCCTGGCGCCTCAATAGTGGTCAACTCGGTCCTCGTACCGGTTCGGGCCCAGATGAAATATCTGGGCCTGATCCTCGACGGGAGGTGGCTCTTCGACGAGCACTTCCGACAGCTTGCTCCAAAGCTGGTCGGCGCTGCGTCTGCCCTAGGGCGACTTTTGCCCAATATGGGTGGACCCAGCGTCGCGACAAGACGGCTGTACACGGGGGTTGTCCGGTCAATGGCACTGTACGGTGCACCGGTGTGGGCGGCGGCTCTGACCGCCCAGAATAGGGTACGCCTCTGGCGCCCTCAGAGGGTAATGGCGGTCAGAGCCATACGCGGTTACCGCACCGTTTCGACGGAGGTGGCGTGCGCGTTGGCCGGAACTCCCCCGTGGGATTTGGAGGCGGAAGTGCTCGCCGAAGTTTATCGGCGAGTGGCTGACTACCGGGCGGAGAGCGGATTTCGCCCTCCGCCCGAGGATGTGCGCGAGTGGCGCGAAGCCGCTCGCCGAGCCACGATGGCTCGTTGGTCGTTCCGGCTGGAGACTCCACGCGCTGGCTTCGCCGCCGTGGAGGCTCTCCAGCCGGTCATCGCCGAGTGGGCAGGGCGGCAGCACGGGACCCTTTCCTTCCGGCTGACGCAGGTGCTTTCCGGGCACGGTTGCTTCGGAAAGTACCTGCACACGGTCGCTAGGAGGGAACTGAGTCCCGCCTGCCACCACTGCGACTGCAGTGAGGACTCGGCCCAGCACACGCTGGCGGTCTGCCCCGCATGGGCGGCGCAGCGCCGGGCCCTCACTGCAGTCATCGGAGTGGATCTCTCGCTACCGGCCGTAGTACGCTCCATGGCCGGTAGCGACAGTTGTTTTACCGCGGTCGCAACCTTCTGCGAGGTAGTAATCTCGCAGAAGGAGGCGGCGGAGAGGGCCCGGGAGGACGACCTCCACTCGGACCCGATCCGCCGCCGGCGAACCGGGCGGCGGAGGCCCGCCTACCACAGCCTCATGCCGCCCTGAGTGTGGCCGCGGGTGGACGGGGTGGGTTTCCCCTCCACCCGCATTAGTTTGGCCAGCCGCGAGGGGGCGGCGTCCGCGTGTGCCGGACGTCGCCTATAAAGAGAGGAAAACATTGAGACGGAGCCCGCACCAGGAGCGGGCTGGCGCTAGGAGGGGTCCGGATGTCTTAACAACAGCTGTTCCCGGATCCCTCCTGTTACAGGCGCAGAGTGGCACACCGTGTGGTTTTAGTCGGTCCGAGTCCGACACACCACCCCGCCGCAAACCCCGGAGGGGTGACGGTCCGAGGGGATTTCCACACGTTAAAAAAAAAAAAAAAAAAAAAAAAAAAAAAAAAAAAAAAAAAAAAAAGGGTATGTGTCAAGTTTTCCTTCTCTCTGCAGTGCTGTTGTCCTGCCTAGTTTTTTTCCCTTAGTCGCTTCTTACGACACCCACGGGATGAATAGGGGTGGTGACACTCTGTATTCTTAATCCGTCACCACGCGTCACCACTGATAAATTTGTATCCCGTGTACTTTGACTCACATTGAGTGTCTATGAAGCTAGCGTAGCCAAGTCACAGGGCCGCAATAAAACTTACATTTTACCTTTTTGCTATTTTTTTGGGCAAAGAATTGATTTTTGGCCATAGCCATTTCTGAAAAAAGCCATATCTCCGGATCTCTTACATTTTCAAAACAGGCTTTGTGTCATATTTTCTTGCTCTTTTTTGAGAA